TGAAGTATATCATAGATGGATAAAATGACTCGTATAATAATATAACATTTAGCTCATGTAGTTGGTGACCTAAAGTGGTGGGGGGGCCCTGCAGTAACTCATAGCCCCGGGGCCCAGTGAGCTCTTAATACGGCCCTGCTCATGGCTCAGTATTTTCTCCACTGAAAAGGGCATTTTTCACTAATTTCTGTCCAGATAATCAACAACAAAAAATCATAGTCACGTTCATTGGTAAGTAAAGAAGTATTTTCAAAAATATTTAGATATATCGAAATCGTCTTCCATTGCGATTTCCCGTATATCTAAATATGTTTAGTGAAAGGTAAACAATGCGTGACGTAGACGCATGAGAGATCACTTCCGGCGTAACTTTGGAGACGGTTCAGTTCGGTTCAGTTGAACATCTGTAACAAGAGGTAAAAACGATATAAATACTGTTCGTTTTCTCACACAAACCACTTGTTTCGTGTCTTAGGCCATCAGTGTGTGCTTACATTTACGAGTCATTAAATCATGTTTAATTTGGACTTCTCTGTGCATGCTCTTTTAGGAGATCTCTTTTAGACAACAACGGTTTGACCAAAAAAATGTCAAAATTGAAAATACTGTGGAAACAAAGACACCTACATCTTGGGTGCCCTTGAGGTAAGATAAAACATATCAAAAATTAATTTCAAAGTGAACTATCCCTTAAAAGTGCTTAATTTGAGTTTTTGACATTTAAGTCCTGGAAATCGCTAGAAAACAGAGTTATTAGGAGTTATTGAAAGACAAAAATGTGAAATTAGTGTTTATTTTTATTGATAAAACAATCTTTTCAGGCAAAATAAACACTGCAGCACATCTGATGTAGACATAGAGGCATTTTCGCTTGGTTATGAGCGGGATATTACTCATATAAATATCCAAGTATGATATATGATACAGCTTTCATTCTTCAGGATAAAAATAATAATATATTCATGAGAAGAAAAATCAGTTTGAATAAGGAAAGCAATATCTTTGTCATAGTATCCGTTCAATGGTTAGATTTGCCAAAGTTATAGCATGTACTGCACTTTATGTACCGTTTTGTTTTATTAGTTTATTTTTAGTTGACCTTTTTTAGAATGTGAAGGATAATAAAGATGGTTAAATAAGTGAGATCTCTGGCTTAGAAAAGCAAAAAAGTAGTGCTTTGAAAGTCCTGGAATTTTGTTTGACAGAATCTGTAAACCCTCAAAAATGCAGTAAGCATACTTACAGAACAACACATACATTTTGCAATTGAAAATAGTAATTTACCAACAACAACAAAAAATTATTAACATTTTAGACCTGTTTGTAGCTTTAACACATACTGACAATCTGTATATACTGTAATAACACTTGCAGTTGCAGTTTATAAAAACCTATATTGGAGTATAATTGATCGGTTTGGTGGAAATGGTGCCACAGCTGTGGGTCATTTTGATAAAAATAAATAAATAAATGCCAGTAAACAACTAATATACACAGTTTTTACAATAAATATTGAACTACTTTGTGATTATTTCATTATTAATCTAGATTCATACTTTTGAACATTTAATAAATTATATTTTCATGGTGGATTTCATGATTGAAGATTAAAAGTTTGAGCTAAAACATTAAAAGTAGCAAAAATAAGTTTTCAAGACAAACATAAAATGGCAGGGATGAAATAATGTTTTGTGTGTAGTAATGAAAAATGACAATATTTGTTTTTCTATAGGCATAATTTTTATTTTGTGCACCAGTGAATATTTAAGTCTGCTGAAAGAACTGACATTAAAAGCAGATCTCTCAGCATGTTAGTTGCATCATACACTTGTTTTGGTTTACTACATCTCTCAACAACACTCACCGAGAGCGAATCCCTCTGGACTGAGTTTAGCAAGGCGACACGCGAGGCCTGTCACACAGAGAAAGGGGGGAACAAATGAACAGCAAGACGACGAGGGACCGAGAAACCGTCTAAAGGAGGGGATCTCAAACCCACAGCTCATTATCACCCGCAGCTTGACTGAGATGTTCCTCCGTGGAGATTTGGCTGTTACTTAGAGACTAGAACACAATATACCCTGATCAATTACCCACAGGCTTTATTGGGCCCTTGCATCTCTAACTCAGACTGTACCGGGGAGACTGTGTCCTCAGCAGATCCATCTCTAGGAGGAGCTTTAATATCCCAAAAACAAGTGCTGCACCAACCCAGGAGATTCAGTTTGAGAAGTTAAAACATACATGTTTTTATCTGCATCTATGGTTCAAGAAAAACGAGAAGGTTCTAAGAGGGAAGATGTTCTTTAGATTTGTAAATGTCAATCATTTTTTCCCCTTAAAAGTCATCTTTGATCACCAAAATGACATATTAATAAATAATGCTTTAATATATCTTGAATGTAACTCAACACCCTTGCCTCATTTAGTACACTCTCAGAAAAAAAGGTACAAAAGCTGTCACTGGGGCTGTACCTTTTCAAAAGATACACTTTTGTACCTAAAGGGTGCATGTTGGTACCTTAATGGTACATATTAGCACCTAAAATGTACATAATAGCACCTAAAATTTACATATTAGCACCTAAAATGTATTTATTAGTACCTAAAATGTACATATTAGCACGTAAAATTTACATATTAGCACCTAAAATGTACTAAAATGTACATATTAGAACCTAAAATTTACTTATTAGCACCTAATATTTACATATTAGCACCTAAAATGTAATTATTAGCACCTAAAATTTACATATTAGCGCCTAAAATTTACTTATTAGCACCTAAAATTTACATATTAGCACCTAAAATGTACTTATTAGCACCTAAAATGTACATATTAGCACCTAAAATACATAATAGCACCTAAAATTCACATATTGGCACCTAAAATTTACTTATTAGTACCTAAAATGTACATATTAGCACCTAAAATGTACATATTAGCACCTACAATTTACATATTAGCACCTAAAATGTAATTATTAGCACCTAAAATTTACTTATTAGCACCTAAAATTTACTTAATAGCACCTAAAATTTACATATTAGCACCTAAAATTTACTTATTAGCACCTAAAATGGACAAAAGTTTACCTTTTAAAAAAAGGTACAACCCCAGTGACAGCTTTTTTGTACCTTTTTTCTGAGAGTGTAGCCTTCTATCAATATGCAACCTTTCAGGGTGTGAGGTTAGCAAACAACAGGACATATAACAGCAAATACCCACATGAACAATTATTATATTGCAACACTGGCTCTCCATCACTGTCTCCTTTGGTCATTTCACTGGAAGATCTATAACCTCATCTTTAGAAGACAGAGAGAGACGTCAACCTTACCGTCACTCCCACAGACACTGTTTAGTTGTATTAATTCACTGTTGGAAACACCGGCTGCACTCGAAATCGCTCACTCTATTGAGTAGGCATTTATTTTAAATAAGTATTAGTATAAGTAATAAGTACTTATATAAGTCACTCACTGTCATTCATAAATCCTCTCCCGTGGCTTCATGGGATAGTAAAGTGTCCATCAAATACACACTTCTGAATCTCACTGGATGTATCATCCAGGTACTTAATTTTTTTTTTATGATTAAACATTTTTAGTTTTAGCTTTTGCTCTCTCAAAAGCAGAGATGAAGACATGGGATTCATGGGAAGACTTTAGAGTGGTGCAGGAGTGACGTCAGACCAACCGGCAGTTCACATCACACTGGTTTCCTCGACAAAAACCCATTTTCTCAAAAACACATCAAATAAAACTTAATTTCAACATTTATTCCCTCTTGATTCAGCCATATGCAAAGCATGCTGGGTACTAACAAGCACCCAGTTTCAGTTCATGCAACACAAATCATTCTTATAATCCCAACACAAACGGATTAAGTAAACTTTAATTTTACATATATTGAACACAATCAAATTAAGTTAGGACAAAATGTCTAGCAATTGCGCTCGTTTTAATTAAGCAATTTGTACAAGCAGCAAAAATCTTTTTTTCAGTGTAATATTGATGAAAGTGCTGTGTGCTTGTGTTCAGCACAGACCTTATTTAGCATTAACCAAAACCCCATTGACTTCGGGATGATGGAACCAGAAGCGCTAAAATGCTAACTCGCCTAAACATTTTGGCTTACAAAGTGATATCATATACCTGCAGACATATTATGATTGGTTATAATTGAATATGATGGTAAGTGTGATAAATCCCGCCTCTTGTATTTGTGTGTGTTCTCATCGGCCAGAATGAAGACATGCATGCCGTTATTGGGAAGACTAATTAAAAAGTAAGTAAACGACTATCACCGCTTTATATCATGACAAAATCAAACTTGGTGAAATTAAAGGTACATCTTTGTTTATGTGACAGTGTCCAGTGTGTAAGCTTGATAACTGATGAAAATAACAAAAAGAAAAGCTGAACATTAACTCAATAATAATATGTAGGCTATTGTTTAAATTGTTTTTGCCTTCAGTTATCAGTGTGGAACAAATGTAAAAACACTTATTTGATTAAATTTGTACTTGGCTTTAATAAATAGTGCATTACATATTGTATAAATACAAAATAGCACTGTATTTAGTCTCTCTTTTCTATGTAATGTTTATCTAACCAGGAAAATTAGGTGTACGGATTTACCATCTATATAAAAATGCGAGGACTTTGCCTCCTCATTGTAAAACACCACCGCACACCACTGCGTTTTGCTACTCTTTTATGAGTAGGCTACTGTGAATTCGGACAACTTCTTTAGTCTCTTTTTGTATAGTATGTATGTGATTTCGGACGCAGCCGCCATCACAGCAGCATTTACTTCTTTTTTTGTAATTTGATGCAAAAGTAATATAACATATCCGGCAATAAATATACATACATTATGTATACATTAAAAAAAATGAAAATATAAAAAAGTTACAGTATTTACGATGCTGATGACCGTTAAAACCGTCATCAATATCAAAAACGTGATTTCGCGCCAAAGCAGTCGAATCAGTTGCGTGGTGACGCAGGCGCAGCGTGGGGTTTCCCAGCCCTGAGAGCAGGGTCACTCACCGCGCCCATCTCTGCTGTCTGATGGCCGGAGCGAGAGCCTGACACACGGGACGCAGAAGAACCACTCCAGCACCGGAGAACGACGCGCGTGGGACGTACAGAAAGGCTACATTTGGACCGAGCGTTTGTTGGCGACATTTACCACAAGGCGTTTGCGCGAAGCTTGCGTTATTTGGGCGAGAATCGGCGCGGTTGCAGCTGTCGCGGCTGCGGGTTCGGGGAGTGCCGCTCTCCGCTGACTGACTGACGGACTGTCTGCGGGTCGGGCAGCTGTGGAGCCCTCTTCGCTGTTTACAGTCAATGATACACACACAACGAACTGTTCCGACAAAACACAGGTCAGTGTTTATCTTCTCTTTAACGGTCGCCTGATTGCCTGTGTGTTCGGTTGTTGTGGGGTTCGGTTGGGGTGGGGGCCGCTGCTGGACTTACACAAACACATTTAACACTAATTGTGGCTTTATTTGTCAACGTGTGCAGCAAATATCAAATTAATAGGCCACATCAGTGGTTTAGTGTGTGTTAACTTCCTCAAATCACGGTCATGTGGCAGAGATGTGCTGTTAGCTGACTAGCAGCACTCATAATCGGGCTCCATATTCATGCTAAATACTGTCAGGTGATTTCTGCTATCGGGCACTCGCATTTCCGTTAGCTCATGGCTGTTAAACGGTCTGTCTCTACGTTTGAATTTTTGAATTTAAATCCTGGTTTGCAGAGTATTGTAAGCCTGCATTGGTGCAGATGATGATGATGATGATGATGAAATGGACAGTGAAGATGGAGGATAAAGCCAAACTAGCTACCTCCCCCACTTCACTTCATCATGGAGTCGCACTGTTTGTGCGTTCAAATATCATCTTTCTCCACGTCAAATCCTCGATAAAGCACTCAAACACCGGACTCTCGCGGATGTGTGTGTATGTGTGTGTGTGATCTAAGTGCTTCTTTGATTGGTTTTAAACCCTGAGCCTGTGCTTTTAACGACCTTAAACGGGAGTTAATGGGATTTTCTCGATCTGTTTAACGTGTGTGTGTTGTGTACGAGTGATTTACGGTTGTGTTCGTGGCGGAAATGTCAATGAGGAAGAGCATCATCAGTGTGTTTCATCACAGTTCGCAATCATATTGCTGTGATTGTATGTAATAACGCCGGTGTCCGTTTAAAGCGCATCTACTGTCCTGCTGAAACATGTACGCGGGCGCGCGCGCGTGTGTGTGTCAGCACTTGTGTGTTTATGTGCTGTGTGTGTTCACGGCCTACAGCTGCTGCAGCCAACAAGATGGCGACTGATGAAGACACAGCCCTGCCTCACACACACTCACACATCACGCATGCTCTCACACACTGCTAAAAAACATTACATATACGCGCAAATAGCATTGGTTCTTATACAGCTGACACTCATAAGTCACTTGTATATCTTACCGCACGTACTGTTATACAAACAATGCTCTCGAATATCATTTCTATAAATCACAGTCACAGGGTTAGTGACCGTCCTGTAGTGTTGGGAATCTTGACGATAATCTGTCTGGTTTCAGTTTCATTCAGTTTGGAGCTGAACTCTGCAAGGTAGAAATGAATCACACTTTACACACCTGATTCTTAGTCACCATGAAATCAAAATGGACTGGTTTTTATGGAATATTGCACTGTCTACTCTGTTATATAACTGATTTATCCTTTCACGTCTTTTATTTTTAAATTCACGTTCCTGGTAATCTTGAATCAGACTATCTTCCTCTTGCATCTTCTCTGATGTGGGCGGGGCTATAACCTGCTGTCAGTCACATGAGTTCAGCCTATAGCAAAACACAACAATCTAATCAAAATCCCCACAGACAAAAATCAAGCCCCGCCCACATTTGTTCTTGTTCCAGATCACTCGGATACACAATAGAGAAAAGACTAGCGCGACTTTCATTTCATGTTGACTTGAACACGCAATCAATATGAAATGATTCCCATTGTCATGAAAAAAATGGATTAGGCCTATATTTCCAAATCCGTAAGGGAAAAAAACTGTGATCTTGCAGGGTTGGAGGGTGCATTCAAAGACGCAAGTTATTTTTAAATGTATATATTTAGAAATATAATACATATATTTGCGCAAACTGAAGCGGCTTTTTAATTATTTTTTTTTTTTGGAGAGGTAATTTTATTTCTTTTCAGAACCGTAAGATTCTTGATTCGGTAACGTCCGAATCTGCTGCTGTTACATAAAACTATGACTTGTTGGCGCTCACAAAACACATTACTATTTTCTGTGTTGTTTTATAAACAACATGGTGCATACAAAAAAAACCCCACTATGCTGAAACACGTAAATTGTGTTTGACTGAATGGAAGCGCCACCTACTGTCAGAGAGGGAATCTGCATGTTCATGCAGTCTTAATGTCTTGAATATCAGTTATGTCTATAATATCTTTAATCTGATCAATGTACAAGATGTACCATGAAAGACGCATCATGTACTGTAAGTTGTTTTTTATTCCCATAATTCACCACAGTGTGTTGGAGGCTTGGAGCAGATGCATGAAAAAAAGACAGCTGTATAGATTTAGTAATCTCTCACAGAATATGCTGCTCAGTTCAATGACATGACAATATTTTGGCTAATTAGATGATGTTTTCAGCTACCAATAAGAATTTAGTTGTTCAGCTGCGTTTAATACATTTTAAATAGCAATTTTTCCAAAAAAAACCCCCCCAAAAAACATTGATGGACCTGCACATGCGTCATATTTAGAGGGATTTGAGCTGTAAGGTGGGCTGCGCTTTGTCTTATGTAACAAAATGTCAGAGTCAAAATGAAATAAAAGCCCTGCAAACATTCACAGGACACTCATGAAAAAAGAGAGTAAAAAAAGCCTCAGAAGAAAACCTTTTCCTTTATAATGTTTAAACCGTCTTAATTCCCCCTAGGGCGCTTGATTCACGTCACCAGTCCACAGAAAGTGTCAAATATGGCATGAAGTTACTGCACTGTAAAGTTTATTACAGTACATTTTAGAAGATAATTCAGTATTAAATTTACTGAAAAATCGCTTCTATGTGAAATTTTATGACCCAGAAATGTAAACACAACCCAGTGCCGCGTTCTCCGATGGTTTTAGCGGGAACTTTGGCACAAATGTCTTCTACGTTTAATTTTCTCTTTTAGGTCGGCTACTGTCATGGTGAAACAGCAAGTCTAAAGTGAATCTTGCTGAGCAACTTCCTTGAATCGCGTTTAATATCAGGGCCATTTGAATGTGACCAGCGCATTAAAGACATAAAAAAACAAAATTAAAAGCTTGATTTTCACCACGGGACTTTTAATGTTAAAATTGGCATTATTATAATCTGCAAGAAGATGTGAAATGCATGTAAAGCTTGTGTATATCTGTTGCTTTTGTTGTAATGCTTTTTTTTTTTTTTCCCCTGATCTGTTTTTATCCCACTTCATGTTTTCAGCCGCGCCTCTGAATAGGATTAAATTGTTCCCGTCTGTAGATGGCGGCTTTTGGGATTATGGGTTTGGTCAGTGATAGCGCTGATTTGACTCGTGTCTGTTTTATCCAGCTGTCTCTACAGTTGACATGCCCTTTCAGCATATTTGATCTTTTTTTAATCCTTAAGCAAAGTTCATGCCACTGCGTGCTTTCACTTACCATAGCTGGCTCTCATGGCATATTTTTGTTTGTGTCAGTATTTGTAGAGCGTCACTAGGGCTGGGCGATATGGCCAAAAAATCATATCTCGATATTTTTTGGTCAAATGGCGATATACGATATATATCTCGGTACTTTCTACGTTTTCTATTTAGATAAAGAAAATCTTTATATTAAAAAAAAAAAATATATATATATATATATATATATATGTATATACAGTATATTCACATTCGGCCCAATGATATCCTACAAACAATGTTGATATTGAAGGATATGGAAACAAATATAATATAGGCTATGCAATATATTATGTGCAAAAAGCTTTTGTTTTTATATTGACTAAAAGCTAAACTAAAAATGAAAATAAAAACAAAAACAAAAGCACAAACTAATTATATTAGCCTGCATTTGATTACCCCATTATAATCACTTTCATTAAAAATATATACTTGTAGGTTTAAAATTCCACATATGGCACATTTATTTTCTCCAACAACAAATATTTTAGCAATATGTTTATTTTAGTCAGAATTATTGCGTACTACGTAGTACTATTCACGCGCTTGCGCGCGCCGGCGCTCGTTCAAGGAAGCATGAATTTTAGCGGAGATTCACTTGCAGAAGCTCGTCCTCTTCTGACATGGACATATTTGTTGTGAAATGGACATATTTGCTTTACTTTCTAACATTTACAGATGGAGAATATGTGAAATGTAAGTTGAGCACTGAGGAAAGCACCACATCTCAAACGCATTAAACAGCGCAAGTATATCTGTCAGTCAGCAACAGTGTCTGTCAGAGCATTTGACAGGGCGGCAAGCTGCCTTAAACTTGTTAACTATATCAAAGTGATTTTGACGCAATTAATATAAGCTTGTGTCATGTTTAGGACAAATTGTACTACGTAGCCTAGCTACTTTCACTGCAGCAGCTCACACTGCAACCTCCGCTATTTTTCAGATGTGCTCATATCAAACTACTGTATCGATATAAACGGTATTGCCTCATTCCATATCGTTTCAAAAAATATAACGATACATCGTACATATTCGATATATCGCCCAGCCCTAAGCGTCACGTAATCTAATCTGTATGAATGACGAGGTTGTAGCGCATCAGCTCATGTTTGCCTTCTGATGGGAGTGAAATCAAACCAGTCCGCTCACATTTCAGAGTTTAGCTCCAAACACGTCTGGACCACCCAATTCAAGTTTTTCAGGATTAAAAGAGCATGTGGAGACTGGACATCAGAAACACAAGCTCATGCAAAAAAGTATTTTCATTTAATTGCATTGCAAAGTTCAAGTTCGACACGCTTGGATCTGCAAATTCGTATTGCGTGAAAACACATGACCAACAGTTATATATTGAACAGGTTTCCTATCCTATAAGACTTGCTTATAGGGACGGCATGAGCGCAACTTTTATTGGAAATATTTACGAACGCTCATTTCAAAGAGGGAATGCAATTCATTTGCTCACGATGACACCGACTTGACCGCAAAAAATAACTAACTATTTTTTTTTTTTCTCAACCAAATGTGACCACAAAGGTTATAAAAATGCTGTCATAAAAGGTTTCTTCAATGTATTACATTTCATGTTGTGAGCGTTCAAAGCGTCAACAAGCTTCCCCGTACTTTTCGACAAGCGTCCTTGACAGGGCGGCCAGAGCTT